CAACAAGAATTATTTTTGTTTCTTCAATTAGTATGCACGAAAGAAACGGTTTCGCTTTTCGTAATTTATTGTTTCATGTTTTACGTTTCATGTTTGATGTTTCACGTTTCATGTTTCTTTGATGTGAGGCCTGCCTTAGGGAGGCCGCACATCAAAGAAACATGAAACGTGAAACATGAAACATAAAACGTGAAACTTGTTTCATGAAAATAGAACAAGAACAAACAAATACAAGTCCGCCCACCAATGAAACGAATTTGTTTCATGCGCGAGAAACATTTTTATTACTTGAAACGTGTTTCATGAAATAGATCGCGTTCTATTTTTCCGTTTCAGTTTCACGGTTTTTGGTCATAAACTTTCATAAATAAAAATAATAACGACCAAGAATTTAATATTGTGTTTGTTTCAGTGGTAGAGCAAGATGGAGAATTGTATAAGTATAACATGGAGAATGTACTCGAATAGACAATCACAAGAAAAAGCCTGCCAAAATATTGCTTAATAGGTAGAAAGTACATTATTGTATGGATGTACCCAGTAACGTCGTTTCCTTTATGTTTTTGACGATAATAGAAAAGTTGCCACAAAAGCAGTTGTTGTTGCTCGTCAACACTTTCCATTGTGTGCTACCCTCTATACTCCACTACACTACCAAAAGACTTAGCAAACATTATTCTTGTTTCTTCAATTAGTATGCAAGAAAGAAACGGTTTCACTTTTCGTAATTTATTGTTTCATGTTTTACGTTTCATGTTTGATGTTTCACGTTTCATGTTTCTTTGATGTGCGGCTTGCCTTAGTATGCACGAAAGAAACGGTTTCGCTTTTCGTAATTTATTGTTTCATGTTTTATGTTTCATGTTTTATGTTTCACGTTTCATGTTTCTTTGATGTGATGCCTACCTTAAAGCTCAAGCCCCCACCATTCCAAATTCCAAAGTACCAGTGATGACGTGTCGTTTTTCGCTTCGCCTTGCTGTAGGGTGCTTACAGTTTTTGCACCACAGAGGCAATCATTCCGCTGACTTTATGTTTATGCATACCATACATAATTTTAGTAAACTTTGTTTCACGAGGGTTCATACTTTTGACATAATTTGCCTTCCTTTTTTAACAAATGGCAATTGACTGAAAGAAATCAATGACGTCAAAAACGTTCGTCGGTTCTTAAACCCAGAAGTCATTCATTTCAATTTGCAAAAAAATTGAATGTCATATGAATTAATCTACGACAACCCTTTTTTTTTCAAGTTTCAAGGTCAAGTATGAACCCTGGTTAAACAATCTGTACATTAATTAACATTATAAAACAAACCTTTTCTAAATCTCGTTTGGCCATAATCCCTTGGTCACCCTTTTTGTTTTTTACGTATTCAAATTTCCCGCTGTTTAAGATGTCTTGACTCTTGGGTGCACTGGTTAACTTTGGTACAAGACAAAACAAAGCTATAGCCAATTTAAAGCGATTGACCAGTCGGTCATCTTGACAAATAAGCATTTAACGTCAGTTAAGACGTCATGGGTTAAGACCAATTGAGGCGATTTTTAGCCTGAAATGATTATTTATCGGTAAATACCGTGGTTATTCTTTTGGTTGACAACTTTGACAGCCAGGTGTGACGTCATAGCCCCCCACCATTCAAGAATCATAACCCAAGGAACTGACCGCTGAAATGATTTTGGGTTATAGCAGTGTAGGATTATGTTTATTATTCTTATTTGTTTTTTCGTTTCAACAATAGTTTTTTGTTTAGGTACAAAAAATGGAGCTGAATCTCTCGTTAGTCTCGTTTATCGAACAGATTTTCTTTGGGGATGATCTAAACCTTGATCTAAACATGGTATGGTGAATTGCAGTGAGTGAGTGAATGTATACTTCTTTCATTGTGCAAGGCTACAACGCAACTGCAAAATCACAAAACACCAATACAAATTCCAAAAATAATAACAATAACATCAAAAAACTGTAACCAAAAGATTAACCCAAGTCCAAAGCTGGGTTATAATCGGTTATAAGTGGTAAATACCAAAAGCAAATCAGCTGATATGTGACGACACAACTTCCCCTACTTTGGTTAAAACCGCGACGGCGGAAATGCGTTGGTTATAACCAAATAATCATTCCAGGCTAAAAATCGCCTTTGGTTAACAAATGACGCTTAATTAATGGTTCATCTGTCAAGATGACCGATAGCTGGTTATGACCAATGAACTATAGCTAAAAACTGGAATGCGCACACATTGCCATATCTGCCAAAAAAATGAAGCCATGAAAGACAGATGCCACAAGGGGGAATGTTGTTTTTTTCTGCTGCTCGCTGTCATATGACGTTTTCGAAAGTTTTGTCATATTTCCTTTCACAGGTTTCATCAGTGATGTGCCTGTAGACAATGTCAACGTAAACAATTGATAGTCTACGTGTAGACAATTCGAATTGTTTACGTGGGCATTTGTCTACACATTGTCTACATGTGACGTAAACAATAAACTTATTTTAGAAAGTTTAAATAAAAAGTTCCAAAATTACTAATACCTAAGTAGCTTATACCTATCACTTTGATATCAGCATTCACTGATTATAAATATGAGGAAAACCGATAATAAATTAAAAATAATTTTTGAAAAGGAAAGTGTGAGGTTAGAATTAAACGCCATTTATATTATTTTACATTGTTGACACGTTGTCTACATTGTCTACATTGTCTACACGTAAAGTAGACAATGAAAGTCTACGTGTAGACGCACATCCCTGGGTTTCATCGATTGGAATACGTGTTGGAAGCAATTTTCGCCATTTAACATAATGAGTGCGACAAAAACAGGTATCCCCTCCGCAGCAGCCGCACTAGGCTTCACGTTCGTCCTTATGTGTTAGCATTCCAGTTTTTGGTTATAGTTCATTGGTTATGACACTCGATATCGAATACGACAGCTCCGGACGTACCGTGTAATACGTATCGAAAATCGAAAAATACCGATAGACCTATTTAATTAACCGATTAACCGATAGACCTATCTCGCATGATTAGAAAAAGAGAGTTTAATTGTAATAAATACAAGTTAGAAAGCAATAAAAGATGACATGCGCGCGCAACTCGTAGGCTGCAGTGTAGCCAGATTGTATTGTCGCAGAACAAATGTAGACAATACAAATCGAACATTATAACATTAAAGAAGTGATATAGTGTTAAGTGTTTTACAACGCCCTAAATCAGACAAAAAAAGAGCTTTAAAGTGGATGAACATCGTTTGCACTTTTATTTTGATAAATGTTTCATCCGGCACCATCGATCAATGAAATTGCAAAGGAATATGTCAAATATAATCTAATATAACCTTAAACGAAACTGCGGTGAGTTCAAGTAATATGTAAAGTATTAGTTTGCTCTTTGTCAAATTACACGTTACAAAGAAAGAAGGGGCGATTCATTCTGAACTGGCCCCTGAATAAGAATATGACGCAAGCCTGTCACAAACTTGCTTCTCATTGGACGCTCACCTGCAGCCTACAAGCGACGCGCGCAGTCCAGGTAATAGGAGATCGGTCTATTAAGCTTTATGATTGTTCGGCTGAACGCTATAACCGAATTTTCGCGACGAATGTATTGTTCGTCGATTTTTAACTGATACTTGCGGTATGAGGAGCGAGGGGGTGCTTCATATGACAAAAACAGGTGTGACGTCAGGTAACCATTGGCGTTCTAATGTAGGGAGCCACCAGCTTACATTCCGTCCGAGTATCAGATTAAAATCGACGAACAATAGTTCATCCAAGGACGAACCATGGTTCGTCGGTGACGTCATGAGTTTGAACGCTGGCTAGAAGCTGCGTCCATGCTTCCGTCGAACTATGTTTAATATGACGTCATGAGTTTCTCGCGAAAGCGTTTGTGTTCATGAAATCATGGAAGTAGTTCGTCACGAAAATTCGGTTTATGTTGAATTTTTGTTGAAAACAAACATGTTTTGGAAACAGTCGCCATTTTTGCAAGCATTAATTGAGATGTTTATAATTTCCACTTTTTGTGTGGTGACATGACTAGTTTTCTGACTGTTTTCAACCAATGAAATTCGCTCTGACTGCAGAAGCAGACGTATTATAAAATGCAGAAGCGGACCTATTATAAAATGCCCATCATAACCCCTATTATTCTGAAAAAAATCGAGGACATAAAAAGGCATTGCTGCGTGGACGTAGCAAGAAATAAAAAATGCTTCTAATACAATATTTAAAAAAGCCGCGACCTTGAAAATCTAAAAAAAAAAAATCGCCCACAGCTGTTTTTTTATTTTTGTCGCCCACCCTTAATTGGATACCACGAATCGCCACTCGCCACTGTCAAGGAGGCCATGCAAAATGGACAACTCACAACCAGGAGCGTCGTATCGTGTAATGGAGGTAATTACCCCCCCCAGGATCGAATAATCAAGAGAAAAATCACGATATATTGAAGAAAATGCGTTTTTTTGTTTTATTTTTCTCACAAAGGAAATAATTTTTCTGTAAAAGTGAATGAGCTTGAAATTTGCAAAAAAATTCCGCCTGCGGCGCGTTTGCGGGGAGGCCCCCGAGCCACCCGTATAATTTACCCTCCCCCGAGGCTTCTTGTCACGCGTCGCCACTGCTCACAACAGTGTGACAAATGACAAATAACACTTTTCCGAAACGCTGACTGATTAACCGGATCATCAAGTGATCCAAAGATGATACAGGATAGCCTATCCTCATAAGGCCTGTGTGGAACAAATGGCCCCTCCTTCCCCCCTGCCATGTTCGCCAAATCATCAGTTGTGACGTAGGCAGCATGTTATTTCTTGCCCTGACGTAGGCTGTTTAAACAGCTGACGACTTAGTTATGACGTCAGAAATGGTGACACGCCAATATGGCGGCGATTGCCAAAAACGAGGCCGATAAGCAATCCTGTAGGTGTGTATCATCTTTGCAAGTGATCTACTTTGTCTTTATTCAATCGTGTTCATTAAAGAAAGCTAAAAAAACAAACAACGATCGGATTAATGGGTTCACACTTTCCGAAAAGGCCCTGACGTATCCCAAATGGCACCTTCTTAAATTGTCATAATTTTGTCAGTGATTTTTGAATTATTTAGTTAATTGAGTTATTAGTGGTATTTAAGTGAAAATTTCTCAGTAAATACAATAATGAGCACGTATCAAGGAAGACCTTTGCCAATGGAGATGTTTCCCGGCTGTTTTTTCCGTGAACATGATATGCTAGCTGATCATAGATCGCAGAGATCTTGTTGGCGAAGTAAGAATAATAAATTGTATTTTTATATTAACATATTTACTCATAATCATTCATGACTGCACTGAGTATCCCCAAAACCCATTTTATATGGTACCTATCACTCCAGCGCTCTGAAATTTGACGGCACTTTAACGGTCAACTTTACATAAAATCACTTCATTAATAATTTTCCTTATCACAATCAAACAAAAAACACGCGTAAAAGACAAACTGGCGGCCATATTTCTGAAATATTGCTGATATGAACTTACAGTCGTGTGACCCACCGAATGCCCTTACTTCGAGATATCGGCTAGTAAGTATAGGAAGTTTCCATTAAAATCTCAAAAACAGGGGATTCAGATTTTGAAATAATGTCTTCATCTGTACCTGGACTGGACTGTCCAGGACGCATTTCAGTGTTCCTATCGAGGTTACTATATTACAAAGAAACTAGGTATAATTTTTGATAATGGAACTTAGTGATGAAATGATCCTTGACATATGACTTCAACGTTTGTGACCATAAATAGCATCCGCTGTTTTTCTATTCTTCCGAGATTCAAAGATCTTCAATGAGCAAACTTCGTTGCAACATACTATAGAGTTCGTACAGGAAAGCTTCATCTTGTTGGAGGAGATCAGACAGGGCGAAACCACCTGCATTGTGCAACTTGTTACAAGAAATGCTTAAGTTTTCCTAGTCTAACATGCCAATTATAGTGGTTATATGGAGAGCTGGCTCAATGATGGGATATTCCTACTCAGTGAAAAACTATTTCCTGGGCGAATATACCGGAAAGATCGCAGCCCAGAAACATCTAAGAAGAGCTGTGCTGTGATAACTGGGTAAAAACTTGTCGACTTGTAACACAATTCCATAGCAAATGCGTCGAAGAGGCATATGGGTGAACATCAACTTTAGTGATGCACCATGGCTGTTGGAGACAATAAGGCTTTGAATCATTGTATTCGTTTCGTTTCTACGACTGCGTATTTTCTATCAGAAATCATCATCATATTTCACTCCTGACGACTCTGGCATATCTATTAGAGTATTCCATCTATTAGTTTTGAATTTTTTTGCACTTCCGCTATACAAGCAAGTCATCAGACCAATACTTTTTATATGGGATTGGGGCTTATTGCAATCAAACCAGAGATTTCAACAATATTTTGAGATGCTTTTGTAGGATGATATAGTCATGCAAATGCATATATTACACGCTAATCTAATGGGAGGCAATTGTCAATCATTTGAATCCATTATTTGCAACCTTTTCAATCAACAATTTAATCGTAGATAATTTAGTAACAGGTACCTATCATTATTTCAGGATACATATTGTCCTTTTTGGCTGGAATAATAACTGTTGGGATATGCTGCTTTGGTTTATATTGTGAGTAACACAAGAAGTCGTGTGCTTTTACGATTAAGTATTTCAAAAATGCTCTATTCTAGATTTTCAGCCACCGTTAATAAGCCAGTTTTTACAGAAGCAACTACCAAAGGCAAGAAACAAGTATGTTATCGTCGAAGATACCACTTTAATAGAAACTCGTCAATATGATATGATAGAGCTCGCAAAATCAAGGGACACATGCATCAGGACATTGAACACTTTCAAAGAAGAAATTGTTATCTTGAAAGAACAAATGGCCACTATCAGTAATTGGAGGTGATTTTAGCAATAAACAAAAAAAAATATATTTGAGGAAAAAAATCAATTTTAGGACCAATGTCAATGGACAGTTGACAAAAATACAATGGGAACAAGATGCAAAAATCAACAGTGCTATAGATGAAGCTTTAGATATTTTTGAGGCTGATGGACTTGGTGAAATGGGTAATTAGAATTAGATATTTTAAAAGGGAATTGAAAAAAAATACTTTCTTTACATATCATAGACTATGCTGCTACATACGCAGGCGGTAAAATTCTAGAAATCTCAAGAGACACGTTTCCAATGGCTAGCTTTCAAACAATGTCGCTATTAAGATTATTCAAAGTCGAACTTCACAGTAATCCTGAAGAAATCATACGGACGTGCGTCTTACCAGGATGTTGTTTTGCTTTCAGGCAAGAATTTTCTAACATTTCCATAACTTTAGATCATCAAACGCTACCTGAGTATGGAAGAACTGGTAGAATTGTAAATAAAATACCTATTTTTCCAGTGGATCCACTGCTTCAATTAAAATCAGGCTTGGAAAACCAATAATAATTGATGCTGTTACTTTGAGTCACGGTTCTAATAGGCTTTTGAATCAGGAAGGTATGAGTACTGCCCCAAAAGATTTTGAAGTTTATGTAAGTATCACAGTTTCGCTACTAAAGATCACAGTAGGTATCATGTTCATATTTAGATTTTTTCACAAATGTAGGTATATTTTTTTATTATTCGTTGTTTTCCCAGGGATTCCAAACTGAGGACGACATTACAGGCACTTTTCTAGGGAAATTCACTTACAACTTGAAAGGCAGGCAACATCAAATGTTTAAAATCAAAACGAAATATTCAAAAAATCATATATTCTACGCAGTAGAACTGGTAATCTCGAGCAATCATGGAAAAACGGATCTCACTTGCGTTTATAGATTTCGAGTGCACCAGATGGAACTCGTTGAGCTTTCGGAAAGAGGCACCCGTGCGCCGCACACCCTACCAAAAAAAACAAAATGTTGTTAAGTTAATGTGCATACTTTTAATAATATAATGTGACTATGAAATGTTTAATATGTATTGCTTATTGACAATAAAATAAAATAAATCTAATAGCATTTGATAGGTGATTAGCAAGTACAGGCCAAAAATTTTGTCTCTTGCTAACCACTTTCCAAATAGCATATAGAAATTGTTATTTGTTTTCAAATTCAATTTGGTGTTAATATAGGCACATGCGTCGGAGTTGGAAGTATTACAGTAAATTCAGTTGATACACCTATTTTTACAGTTGCCCGTTCTTCATCCGAGATATTTTTTGATTTCTTGGTTGGTCTTCTTTTGGAAGTTTTGACTAAAACTTCCCCTGGCGGTCTACTGACAGAATACAAAATACTTATTATTTACATAAGAAACAAGTAGAAAACTTACTTATGAATATTTAAATGTGTCTTCAAAGTAGAACTTTGATTGAACGCTTTATTACACTCGGTACAAACATACGGCTTTTCTCCAGTATGAATTCTTGTGTGTTTCCTCAATACAGTTTTTGTTACGAAGACTTTTTCGCAAGTTTCGCATTTGTATGGCTTTTCGCCTGTGTGGGTTCGTAAATGAATTGTTAATTGACCTATAAAATAAATCACAACTGAACTTGAATGTCCTCATAGGCAGAACGAAAATGAGAAATTTGCTTTGTTGTTAGCGTTTACAGATATGGAAACTGGACCTAAGAAACCAAAAGTAGACTCCTCAGGATAGTTTTTATTTTGGGTCTAGATTAGAAAATTCTTACCAGTAGTTGCCATTCTTTTCCCACACAAAGTACATAAAACAGGTTTTTCGCCGTTATGTGTATTTAAGTGTCTTTTTAAATCGTTGGATTGCCTAAAAGCTACGCCACAGGTTTCACACACAAAAGGCCTTTCGTTCGTGTGTTTTCTCATATGAACTTTCAATAAACCTAGAAAGCAAAAGTTATAAGATATTTGTTCTGGTTCGAATACGTTGAATGAAACACAAGCAAAAAAAATTACCTACTTCTTGATTTAAACGACAACAAACAAATATTGCACTTAAAAGGTCTGTATCCTGTATGTATTCTTTGATGGAAATGCAAAGATCCGCTTTGCCTAAACCCTTTTCCGCAGACTGCGCACAAATGTGGTTTTTCTCCAGAATGACATTTCATGTGTTCAGAAAGTGAGCTCGGATACGGAAATTCTTTGGAGCACATTGTGCAGCTGTACATTTTTTTAATATAGTTTTCCTCGTGGGTTTTCATGTGGCGTCTAAGATTTTCTGACGTCATACAACCTCTGTCGCACTTGGGACAAGGAAATGGTTTTTTGTCAGAATGTTTATATTCGTGCTGCTTCAATAAATGTTCGTACCTAAATAGTTTTTTGCAAGTTTTACAGGGAAATTCTTTTTCTTTGTGGCTCCTCAAATGTACTTGTAAATGGGCCTGCTTTGAGAAAGTTTGCAAACACGAGGAACATTTATATTGTTTATTGTCGTGCGTTTTTTGATGAGTCAGAAATTTAGTTTTATTTGTAAATTTCATTTCGCAAATATTGCAAATGTATTCGTTTTTTTCCGTCAATAATTCGACTGGTTTAAATTCTTCTAGTTTATTTTCTTCAATTTTAAGATCCTTCTCTTCCTCAAGTAGTTCGTTTTCGAAATTGTTTTCATCTAGTAAGGCTTCTTCTTCGATTTTACGAAACTTTCTGCGAATTTCTTCTTTTTTGAGTGTTTCATCTGATACTATGCACATTTCTGCAAATTTAAATGCTGCCTCTACTGATTCTATGCAGTTGATGCACGAGTTGTTTGGTGAATATTCACTTTTTACAATCTGAAAGAGACGATATATAGGTACCTTATAGTGTATTGTGTCACAAATTTAATGATTTAAAAAAGAATCAAATAAACTCCTGGACAGTATTAAGGCATCACTAGATAAAAAAATATGTATGGGGTGTATGGTAGATCGATTGAAAACTTCAACTGAGTATTGAGCGATAGTTGTGGTCGGTTTGATTTTACATGACAATATTATTTATCCTTATACTAAGTTTTCCTAATTTTGAGAAATTGACGTTTTTAGATAATACTGAGCTTTTCTAAACAATTTTTGAGATAATATTAATCGATTTAAACCAAAAAATCAAATATATTAGTAAAATATACAAATATTTGGATACTTATACTACACTGAAACAGTTTGAAAGAGGAGTTCGAAAGATTTTGATTGTACTGTTACTTATGTTTAGAACAGAACTGTTAGTTTTTGAGTGTTTGTTATGGTTTAAGCACTATAGGAACTCAAGTTTTGTCTTGAATACTGACACTAAAGTGGCACTAACTGTTTTAGCTGGGAGTTGAGTCTGTTCGATCTGTGTAAAATATACCCTGGATTATCGATAAGCTAGGGATTGAGTTTTTTTAACCATGTTTCGGTTTCGGATTCTGTACATATTATGCTTAAGTTTTACTGCTCTATTTAACATTTTGTTAGTTCTAATTTTTTATTTTAAGTGTTGATTTTGGATTATTGGTAATTTTGTTTATAATTTATGTAGAGGCTGTTCCATTTTGGTTGTGCATGGATGGCTTTAAAAATGTTGAATTTTGGGACGCCCCTTGTATCTCGGCTGTCTCATTATGTGCTCGAAACGGTGACAAGACAATGGGTTCTTATCAAAGGTTCTTATGGATCTACGTAGATTCCAGTGGCGTAGTCAGTTGTTCTCTTTAAATGATAGCTCGAATGATAGTGATAGTTTTTATATTATAAACCAAACATACATTTTTCCAAATGAGACACCTTGAATATCAATAACTCATTGGACAACTCCATTTTTGCTGATTTCAATGATATAAAGTTCAATAGGTTTATCCCTTATCCCTAACAGTTTTCATGTTGGAGATAAACCTATCGAATTAGCAAAAGCATATTCAATGAGTTATTATTATACAGGGTTACTCATTTGAAAAAATGTAGGCATATTTGGTTTATTAATTTAAAGACTATCACTTCTAAAGAAAAACGGACTACGCCACTAGAATATACCTAGAAAGATCTATAAGAACCCGTTGTGACCTGTTTGATCATATATGAAAGAATCGAGATACAAGGGGTGCACCAAAATGCAACATTTTCAAAAACTATCCCTTATGTATAATCAAAATGGTACACCCTGGTGCCTGTACATACATATACATTAAAAGAATAGCTGAGTGATTGGTACACAAAATATGTACCTATAGACTAATTTATGCATTAAAATGCATTATTACATAATTCTCATTCTCATAATTACATCATTTCTCCTGTAAAACTTTGCATAAGGGTGAATATGGTCATGAAGCTTCCAAAGTTTCAAACGACCTTAACTGAGAGTCTGCTCTGATAGCTAAGACTTTCTATCAATGCGTGAAATACTTATTTCAAGTTTCAAAAATTAACATAGAGTCATATTCACTTTCAATAATGTATTTAGGTATGTAATCATAGGTTTAATGCAGTGTGCGTTTGCGTTAATTTTGCCCAGTCAAAAGTTTCAAAAACCATTCTTACCCTCAAATCGCTTATTTTTTCAATAAAATCCACTAAAGGTATATTTGTTGGTTGCAAAACGTAACTGTATAAATCAAACATGTCTTTGGAAGTTTTAAGGCAAAATCTACAATTATTTTCGTAGTTATTAATTTCCATTCTGAAAAACTTATCCTCCTGAAAGTGATGGAGAAAAACGAAAAATACTAAAACACAACAAACAATTCAAATTAATTTAAGGTTGGAAAACTTTGAAAAGGAGGAGAGGTTGCACTACACACTACCATTGGATTTATTTTCGTCAGACTTGGCAACGTTGATGTAGGCTCTACCTATGGGCTCTACCATACCCTACCATCAACCTTGCTCTACTCTCGAGTCTCGACTAGACTTTATCAATATATCTATATCCTTATCACAATCCGCAGTCCAAAGGTAAAGGTAAATTTATCACCTTTCCCTATCAAATAGCACTGAAAGGTGATAAATTTTACCTTGTGTTTAAAGTTTTTGCAATTCTCTCAAATTACGCTCGAAAAACAAACAGCATTTAAGAAATAGAAGATGAATAATATTTTATTGAGACATTTGAAACATAAGGACTTAAAATATTTACAATTTAAATAACAGAATATAAATATAACGACTTTTTTTGATTCAAAAGTATTAATAATTAGGACCGTGCCTTTAAAAGTACCAACTTATTTTATAATACTTGAAATAATCTCGCAAAACAAAGTATACCTAATGAAAAATAGATGGAGACATAAAGCCCGAAATGGCAATGCAAATACTTAAAATTTAGCAACAAATGGATAATAAATAGATGTAGATGTAAAAAAAATAAATACTACCATTTTTTGGAAGTGCTATTACTAAAATAGTAATGGCAAATACAGGTCAGTTCTTAACTCCAAAATGTGGCAGTGTTTATTTTATTTTTAAAATAATTAGGCATTGTTTGAAATCTACGCTTCATCATCAGACTTCTCAGTTTCATCAGTTTGCTTGACGTCATCAGTTACTGCTTTTTGATCGTCAGTGGCATTGTCGTTGTTCTCGTTTTCAGCCTTTTGATCGTCTGTGGCGTTATCACCTTCACCTAAAGGAATTTTATGAAAGCATTAATTTGAAAAGACTCTTGATACCTTACCATCTTCCTTTGCTGGTGATGGAGACTTTTCTTTTTGTGGACTTGGAGAGCTTTCTTTTTCAGGCTCGGGAGACTTTTGTTTTTCAGGCGCAGGTGACTTCTCTTTAGCAGGACTCGGAGATTTTTCCTTGGCTGGACTTGGCGATTTTTCTTTGCTTGGAGTAGGAGATTTTTCTTTGGTCTTTTTTTCACCTTCATCAGTTTCCTCCTTTTCAGTCTCCTCAGCTTTAGCTTCATCCTTCTCAGGAGAAGCTTCCTTTGACTTAACTTCAGTTGAAATATCTCCATTAGAGGTTACAGATAGTTTCAGGAACTTTTCCATTTCATCAACTTCATTGGCCATATCAAAGGCATCATAGTCCTAAAAAAAATTAAGAAACGTAAGATGAATTCAAAATAGTTTCATAATCTGCCATTTTTCAAACATTACATAATTAGTTTGCTAAGGAAATTATTAATTTTACTGTTTTAAAATTTGTGAGAAATGAAACAACAATTGTTCTTCAATGACCTGGGAAAAAAATATTCAAAGCCAACCCTTTGAAGGGCCCCACACACTACGTTCTATCTCGTCGATTTTCATCATCGCGATTAACAATATTGTGTTTCATTGTCAGTCTGTTTTCACCACACACTACGTGATTTTTTGGTAGTTGGACCCACATACAACGGTTATGGAACGAAAGGTTGAACCCTCATGCCAAAAATCAAGCTCGGACTGAATTTTGAACCAACGATGAAACACGACGGTTTTCTACCACACACTTCAGCTTTAGATCATCGTGTTTCATCGCGGCGATGAACGTAGTGTGTGGGGCCCTTAAGGATATGGTTCACCAGCGAAATTGAAGACCTCTCTGGTGTTCCTCAAGGGTCACATACTATTCCTCCTGTTCGTCAATGCAATTTCTTTAGAACCGATTTCCAAGCCTTCCTGCTACGGCATCAACAACCAGATAATTGAACATGTTAGCGTTTACAATGAGTTTGGAGTAATTTTGCTGTTGAGAACTACATTGTGAATAGAAGGTTTAGGATAAAAACCATCTAGAAGATACTGAGGCCCTTCACATTCTTCACAACTGTCTGGTGAGCAGCATATTTGAATAACGCAGCGTGATCTGGAACCCTTTTTGTAACTGTCACAAACAACGGATTGAAAGAGTCCAGGCAAATTTGCAAAATACCTGTTGAGAACTACATTGTGAATAGAAGGTTTAGGATACAATCCATCTACAAGATACTGAGGCCCTTCACACTCTTCACAACTGTCTGGTGAGCAGCATCCTTGAATTCTGCAGTGTTTTTTTTAACTGTCACAAACAACGGATTGGAAGAGTTCAGGCAATTTGAAAAATACCTGCTGTACTGTACAATTTTTTCAAAAGTTTTTGAGGCAATTATTGGTCACGCTTCTATTCAAGAACATCATCATACCAGAGCAACATTGATTTGTCAGGGGAAAATCCACAGTTTCAGACCTGGTAATCTTGGAGCAAGCCCTGTTTGGTGCCTTGGAGGAAGGTTATCAGGTGGATGTAATTTACACAAACTTCTCCAAGATATTTGACAAGATTTTTGGAAGAAAAACTTGCATCCCTGTCATACCTTTTTTTCACACTAGATAGGGTTTCTTGCATTCGTGATTTGGGAATATATTTAGATGATGAATTAAACTTTATTGAACATATTGAGAGGATCTCTAACAAAGTAATGAGATTATTGGAATTTGTACTCCGTAACCTGAAGGACTTCAATAATATCTATACACTTAAAAACACTTACTCTACCATTGTTAGGCAACTCCATGATGAGCAACTACAATAACCACTATGCAGAAATCAACTTCTCATCTAGTCTCTACATGCTGAAGCATTTGTCGTTCAATTTGGTTTTTATTTACTCTATGTTTTATGTTTCTTGAAATTGTTCCATTTTTATTTCTCTTTTATGTACAATTTTTCAATTTTATCTTATCATTTGGCGAATAACTCTGTAGTGTACCACATTCAATAAACAACAAATAAATAAGCAAACGCCGCCAAAAATATTTACACATCCAGCAACCAAATTTGTCACTTAGCAGAAAGCCAAAATGCAGCATAGCATGGAAAAATTATTCATTAATTTAATTCAGAACTTATGTTGGGAATCCAGCCAGAAAGTGTGGTGGGTCAAATGGGTCAAAACATGTTTACAATAAATCAACTGTTTGCTCTTGAAATTAGCCTGAATTATTTGTTAAGCTTCTAATAAAATTCAAGGTCTTGTTGGGTTGATTCCATAGATTTTTCTCAATTTGGCTAAGGTTTAAACTCTATTATTTTAAATAAAGCTGTAAGGCTGATCTCAAGGCAGAATGGATAATAAATATGTAGTATGAAAATAATGGAACACGTTAATTCCATAAGGCTTTATTGTCCCAATTAACTACCTATAGATTTTAATATTATTATTATTTACAGAGAACTCCAATTTTTAAACTAAAAACAACTGTGTTTACTTTGCCTTATTTAGACTTGGTGAACTAATTTGACTAATAGATGAGTCACTTGAATACTGAATACATTTACCGAGATAATTATTTATGAACTAATAACAAATTGAATTTTATACTTGCGAACAGTGACCTGCTTCTTGTGGCTTGGTTTTTTGATAAGATGATTTGAGTTAATTGCTTAATTGAAAAATAAATGGTTTCTCACCCCACAATATTCTTCCCCGTTAAACAACTGAGGTGGTAAAGGATGCCTAGGATTAGGATCGCTTATGGTGCCTCCCATAAGTTTAGAATTAGTTTGCATGTATTCTTTGGCCTCTTCCATATTGGGCTCGGCAATATCCAGCAGCTCATATTCGATATTTTTCGAGTCTAGAATTAGTGATACCCTTTGTTGGCGCTTCTTTACCTAGAACACAAGATGAGGGAAGGGTGCCCTTAAGACCTAGTTTAAGCAAAAGTGTATTTAATAATTATGAGGGATCTAGCTAAATTAAATGAAGTTAAATTTTGCTTTGGCTGATAGCATAAATAGCAAGAGAAAGTGACTTGGGTTAAATTTAACCTTATCAAGAATGGTTGAATGGTATGTGGAACATCTTACTTCAGTATTATTTGTTGAAATAGATATACTATTGTATTGAGCACAGAGTACTTGAGGTTGAAAATTTGTCCTCTATACAAACTGTGTCTATACTCCCAAGAATTTTTGGAAAAAAAGAAATTAGAAATTGTAAAAGTAGCTCAATGAAAAATTGTGAAAATATTACAAAATCTGCTACTTACCTCCTTATTTCCAGAACTTCCGCTAACATACACTTTGACTACCATTTTTAGGGATAAATTCTTTAAAATCTAAAAAATCTAGGAAGAAGATATCAAAAATATATTTTAACTTTTTTCGTTTCGAGGATGACAGTGACACCGATGACAGCACTGCACCCATCACATGAGCAACTGCCGTGCACTGCGCAGTATTTCAGCATTTGCAATCGCAGCAAGAGTTTTTGGCAGAGCCGGAGCCACCCAAGAATCGTAAACTAAAAGGAATTGCTCATCTTAATAAGACGTCCATTCGCCAATTCTCGAGACGGTAAGGTCTGCAAGTGACGTCACCACCTTTCAGGTCAATCAAATAGCTCAAAAAGCAGTCCTATAGCTAGAAGTTGGAATTGGACTTCTGGTAATGAAGATAGAAACTCAATCCCCGGCATTTTTGCAGAAAAGTCAGATTAGAACAAAAAAAAATTCGCGACAGAATCGCAAATATCTCTCTCGTCCGTCTAGATACTCCGAGCAAACAGATTTACGTCCGACTGGTCTGAGCGGAATGGACGAACGGTTCGGTTCAGATTTGCCTCCCCTATATCTAGATGCAATAAACGAACGATTCAGATCAAAAAGACTGATCAGACGTAATACCGAACGTAGCATATATCCCAGTGTCTTGGGAGCCAAGGCTCAAGGATATTACATACTACTACTACAGGATAGCCTATTCTCATAAGGCACATGTAGTTCAAATCTCATATCCCCCAAGGATGATACACACTACTACTACAGGATAGCTTATCCTCAGAAGGCCTGTGTAGATCAAATCCCAAGTCCCTTACCACGCCAAAGTACCAGTGATGACGTAGACAGCCTATCGTGTCTCGCTCAGTGAAATGTGTCTCGCCTTGACGTAAGATGTTTGCACTAGAGGTTATGATTCCGCGGGCTTTTGCTTTATGCATACTTGGTTTTAGTACATTGGCCGAGTTCGTTTTTGTCATCTTTTTCGTCGATTTGCTCCGAAATTTTGACAGGCACGTGACTGGATGAGACAGTTCAGTTTATAAATCACGTGCCTGTCAAAATTTCGGAGCAAATCGACGAAAAAGACGACAAAAACAAACTCGGTATATATGTATATGATAGGTATGTTTCTGCAGAAATCACATCCAGTTAGAGCGAATTTCATCGGTTGAAATCAGTCAGAAAACTAGTTTCAACCAATGAAATTCACTCTGACTGGTTTGTGATTTCTGCAGAAACAGACCTTAAGGTATGTTTTCGCTTGTGCGGCTGGCGGTTGCGTGGGGCAGCCGCCGCCGACGGCAGCCTACTGATTCAATGCGTTTTATCATAACCGTCGCTTGTGCGTCTCAGCGGCTATGATAAAACGCATTGAATCAGTAGGCTGCCGCCGGCGGCGGCTGCCCGACGCAACCGCCAGACGCACAAGCGAAAACATACCTTTATATATTAAAACAACGCTTTTCTAGATCTGAAAATTAAATGATATTTTTCTTCCATCATAAATATATATTCTAAACTACGACCGCTGGCGCAAACAGCTGACGACGTAGTTGATGACGTCGTCAATGGTGCTCTACAATTAGGCAATTCAATCCATCTGTCAAAAAGGAAAATTCACTGTGGCGTGGCGGCCAAGCAAGTTTGTTTTGAATATGTTTTTATGCGTATTAATTATTTTGCATCCAGTTTTGCTTACAACTTTGATTTTCATTATTTAATAAAATATTTGTAGACTAGCTAAGCTATTAATTCGGGCAGAAACTAGATATTTTTTTGTGTTTTTTGGCCCATGTATGGCCGCCACGCCATCTTGAATGTCACGTGGTTTGAATTGCCTAATATGGCCCCGAATCTCAAAAACGTCAATGCAAAAAACGAGGCCGATAAGCAATCCTGTGTAGTAGTGTGTATTATCCTTGAGTAAAGCGTACAAAACTGACAAACCCGTAATGGCGTATAATTTGAAAACAGTTCTAAATTATTCAACTTGGAGCTGCTTTCTTTTGCAGCAAAATTGAATCATGATTTCAAGATCACGATTGATATGTTCAGCGGAACATATGTATTTCGATTTTCCCCTCTGAAAGAACGCTCCCAAGTCGCGTTGACATTTCCTTTCTATGCATTAAATATTTCTAATTTTTACGTTTTCTTTTGCATAGAAAAATTGATAATTTAAGTAACAAAGAAGGAACACTCGTTCTCCTGAAAACGCTGCTCCCCTGTTTCAAAAATAATGCTCCTGATGAGTTCCTGAGTCGTTTTAAATTAAAATAAATAAAATATATATAACATATTTAAATACAAAAACGTTTCGGGTTGAGTTTGAAATTAGGTTAGAATTTCCAGATACAAAAATAGGCTGTTCATTTGTACTCTACCTGCTCGAAAAATCAGGAAGATCTGCTAGAAGCTGCTATTTATGAGCTTATATATTGGACAAGTGAACGCGGATCTGCTGCTGAGATCTGCTTGAAGCAAGAAAAGCACTGCAAATGAACAGCCTACTAATTATAAAAAGAAAATGTTCACTATGTTCGGAATTTTTCGAATCATGATCCGCAAACATCAAACTTGAAAATACGAAAGAACGATTATTGAATCATAACTCTGGTGCTCAAAATATGTTGTGTCACTGGAACGCACCCTACTTCAAGCGTCGTGTTTCTGATGCACCAATAAAATTGCTGGTGCTTGAGAGGGCAGGGAAGTGGAAAAATGAACAGTTCAGAGCTGCTTTCGGGTGCCACCCTTTGAGCGCTCCCGAGTTACTCCGAAAAACTCCGGCTACAGTTTGACCCCCGGGGTGCGTTCAAAGACGGCAATGCTAATAGGTCTGTTCGCAGAGAAATCACAAACCAGTCAGAGTGAATCTTATTGGTTGAAACTAGGTTTCTGACTGTTTCTGATTGTTTTCAACCAATGAAATTCGCTCTGACTGGTTTGTGATTGCTGTGCGAACAGGCCTATTGCCAAAACCTACTTTTCCCTCTCCACCGGTAATGCCGAACACGTAGGTTGGAGCCGAACTCGAACGCAAAATGCCAATTTTGGCTTGGCTGTAGCCATTCCTGAACGCAGCCCCGTTCAGTTTCAAGCGTTCGAGTGCAAAACGCATGGAGTATGACAGGTGTGAAGTATTCTAGGAGCTTTGCACTCTGCACTCGAATTACTGTATTTCTTTTATACATCGAGTTACACCAAACGGAGTCACTCCAAAACACACAATTCAGATTTTATAATTATTTTTTAATATTAACATTACCTTCATTACCTAAAAGGGCATCTTGCACCCCCCGCAAATTTGGTGCATCAGGGCAAAGGGGGATGCACTAAGAGCGACTCGAGTGCTTAAGCACTTTTAAAAGGAACGTTCAAGCTTTTGACATTGAGCAGCTCCGAGTAACTCAACGGGTAAAAGGAATAGAGTAAATGCGGTTCAGCCCCCCGATTCTCAACCTCTAATCGCTACCTATCGACTCCGACTTCCCATTGCCTTTCTACAAGGAGTCGGGACGTTACGTATCGACTCAACGATTGAGAATCCCACACCCAGGTGCGCAAAACTCTAATGGCGAAATTCCTGTACCAATAGATGGCGCTAAATCACGCGAAAAATAGCAATATGTCTGCCGAACTTAGCGATCATTGGTGAACAACAAAGAACAAAGCATTGGAACAAAGCCAGTTTTTTGAGGTTAGTTTTTGTTACATTGTGTTTTATGGCGTTTTTGTGATTTATATAATGGCCGTGTTCGTTTTTGTCATCTGTTTCATCGATTTGCTCCGAAATTTTGACAGGCACGTGATTTGTAAATTGAAACTGTCTGATCCAGTCACGTGCCTGTCAAAATTTCGGAGCAAATCGACGAAAAAGATGACAAAAACGAACACGTCCAATGTTTATATAACAGAAACAATACAGAAAAAGAATAATATTCTGTAGAAAATTGAAAACTTCCAGGAACAATGCTGGGGGCCAAATGCAAACTTGCTTTGTTGTTCACTGAGTTTTGAGTACCAAAGTTGATCATCGATGTCGCCTACTTCGGGACCTTTCGCGAAATGCACTGGAACGCTTTTAAACCGCCCCGGGGTACTGGTTCAAGCTGTGCAAACTCCGGACAGCTCTCGAACTGTAAAACAGATTACAAAAAAAACTTTTTTTTTATCTACTAGCGATTCCGAGTGAATCGCAGTTTGCACTTTTCGAGCTGCGCTGCGCGTTCTTTTTTTTCCTTTTTAGTAGGTGCATTTGACTCTTGCTTTTTTTTTTGGAGTTACTCCGAATGACACCGAAGGAATCGAAATGAAAACGCTATGCTAAAACCGAATACCCATCGGCTAACTTCGGGCCGCTTGCCACCATTGCTTTTCTTTTTCCTTTCGCCATAAACATTCATTGAGGTGAGTTCAAAGTGATAAAATCCTAATTTTTCCCAACAATCTTAAAATATTTTGAGAATGTTAATGCAGCATTTTGTTATGTAAGGCCTTAGTTTTTAGTTTCCATTTATATTTTCGCTTTTTTTGGTGAGATTTTTGTCAAAAATATAAATCTTTCTGGTGAGGATTACAGGTTAGAGACTTGTAAATGTTTTCCTTTCTACCTCTGTAATTCCATGATGATTTTTTTACCTTAGGACACCGCTGAAGAGCCATGTCGATATAAATTTATCTGACCCAAACATTTTCCCATACAAAAACATGCACTGGAAATCATAAAACTTCACTAACCTCCAAAACTTTCAATTTTCAGATGGCCACGGAGAAGAAAACGCACCGTCCCAGGAACTACGACCTCGGGAATGGGGTCGTCAGATTTAGCCGTACAAGAGTATTTCATAAAAAGGCCCTGTACAAATTCGTAGGCAAGAAAGTGGTAGCCCAAAAAAAGCCCGCTAAACCTAAAGTAGTCGAGAAGCAAATTGGCGGTGAGAAAAATGGTGGAAAACGTTTTGTGCGTGTCGAGAAACGTAGGGCTGTATATCCTACCCAAGATAAGTAAGTAAAATTTAGGTTTATGATAGGATACCGCTGTCCACCACATGGCCTTGTTTTCAATATTGCCTAGAAAATTTAATTTTTTTGGAATTTATTGAAACAACTATTTTGATTTTGATATTTGAAATACCTCAAATACCTAAAGTTCGTTGTTTTTAATCTGACACTTTCCGTATGAGGAGCGAGGGGATGTTTCATATGGCAAAAACAGGTGTGACATGTAACCATTGGCGTTCTACTGTAGGGAGCCACCAGCTCGCATTCCTTTGGACTATCAGATTAAAATCGACAGACATTACATACTTACCTTGAAATTCCAAAAAAAAAATAAAAATTCTTATCAAACTAATTCAATAGGCAGTTTTCAAAAAAATATGTCTTGTCTTGTTTCAGAATTGCCAAAAGACCAGCCAAACAATTATTCAAAAACCATAAAAGGTCATTGAGGCCATCAATCACTCCAGGAACAGTCCTCATTTTGTTGGCAGGAGGACACAAAGGAAAGAGGGTTGTTTTCCTTAAACAATTAGCCTCCGGACTTCTCTTGGTAACTGGTAAGTTTCCGGTTACTTTGTAATATTGGGTAAAATATTTTTTCACGTGATGAATAAACTTAGGACACCTTACGATGTATCCATGATATGAATTATTGAAATTTATCTGATATTTAAAAAGCAATTCCAAATGTATTTAGGCAACAATTCATCAGATTTAAAGCATTTTTTCCTCTACAGGTCCCTTTGGTATTAACGCATGCCCAATTAGACGTATCAGCCAAAGGTATGTTATTGGAACCCAAACTAAAATTGACATCAGTGAAGTGAAACTTCCTGAAACTATCAATGACGATTATTTCAAAAGACAAAGGCAGAAGAGGGCCAAGAAAGAAGAAGGCGATATCTTCCAGAAAAAGAAGGAAGTAAGTCACAGTGTGTTATTATTAAAAAAATATCTTCGATTTTGTTTAAAATGATGACTTATCTTAGGACACCTTTGGATGTATCCATGAAAAAATATGATAGTGGGACTGATATTTTTGTAGAAATTAAATAGTTGTTTATAGTTATTTTTAATATATTTGTCTTAATTCTAAATAAATTATTGCAGGGTTACAAAGTAAGTGACACCAGAAAAGCTGACCAAAAAGTTGTTGACACTCAAGTGCTTGCTGCCATCAGGAAACATTCTGACAGGTAAGAGTCAATTTATTATTTTTTATTTTTTTGAAAAGGCCCTGTCTAATGCTGTAAAATGTATGTCCAAAATTTGCAGTTTCGCTTTAGGGCTAAATTAAAATACAAAATTTACCATAGATTTCCTATTTTGATGGGGAATTTATAAATAATTTTGTGACAATAATTATTTTGATGTATTCGTTTTTTTGTAGAGTAGGATCATTTTTTTGAAAATAATTTTGTTTTAGGAAAGTACTTTTGGCCTACCTTTCCTCCATGTTTGGCTTGAGGTCGAGTCAGTACCCCCACAGACTACAATTTTAAAAATTTAAGTACTATAAGCCACAGTTTATTGGTTAAATTTTGTTGTACATTATTACGTTCAATAAATTGTGACATTTATATTATTTGTGTTTTATAATTTATATACAAAATAAAAATATTGGAATTTTTTTTGAAAAATGTCCTATGAAAGTTCATTCATGAAATAGGTCAAAGTGATTTCAATGAGCCAATAAGCTATTTACCTAATAAGTGCGGAAAATGAATTTTTCTGCACGCGACTGCCGTTCACCGAAAGACGTGTAGCGGAGTTCGATGAAGTAGCCGAGTGCGGAAAAATATTTTCCGCCAGTGTTAGGTACAATATTTTTCTTACAGCCGTGCGGAAAAATCAATTTTCCGCACTGATATCCGTGCGAAAAATGAGTTTTCCCGCACGGTACGGAAAAACTTTTACTGTGGGTACTTTACGCACGATAGTAGAAAAAAATCTTTATCCTTACATTGTTCACTTTTTCAATTGGCATCAAAAGAAATGGCGTTTTGACCAAGAAAAATAGTAGCAGTTTCATGTAATATTAAGGCTGTCGGTTTCCTGGGATAGGATGGTTGTCTTTTCAATACTGCAATGTTGCACCATCAATTTTTGATTATTTCAACCATATTTCAACTACAGATTCAAGAGGTGCTCAGAATGTCATGTGACATCAAAAATTAAATATAATAGGACCTAAGGACAATTTATTGCAACCAAACCAAAAATTAAAAAAATGTACGCCTTTGCTTTTCACCAGAAGACATCAGTATATAAACTGAACAATATAATATGCACTATTGTCTTGGGAAATATTTGAATTTCATTAAAGTCGCCTAGAAAAAAAATTACCATTTCTAGGAAGTTAAACATTACTATGGTTTTGGGCAATAATTATTGATTTCCATTCATTCCATAAGTATGTACCGGGTTATTCACTATACAAGGTGTCCCACGGTGGATGGCGTATTAGACGTTTATGGCGAACTAAAAAGCGGATCATTTTGAAAATTTGGCAACCGGGATAAACGACCATGATCTACACTTTAAAAATATTTTTGTTCATGCGGTGTTGCCGCTTCTACTCTAAACCAGTGGCAACAGCGCTATCTTAAATGGAACACCGTGTATGTGATTACATATTTGGATTCTACGTAAAATTCTGAACAGATTTCATGTGACATACCCTATACCTAAGTTCAACTGTTTTTTTAAATATTGACAGTTGGAAATTGTCTTTTTGCAACTTTGACAGGCTGTAAAACCGGAACGGTTGATTTTAGAGAAATACCGATTTTACATTCCTATCTTAAATTTTTATAAACTATGATTTGACACCAACTTAAAATTTAATCCATGATTGAAAATTCCAATTAAATTTAATCTCCGGTTAAATTTAAAGTTGGTGTCAAATGATAGTTCATGAAAATCTAAGACAGTAATGTAAAATCGTTTTTTCTCTAAAATTAACCGGTCAGGTTTTACAGCCTGTCAAAGTTGCAAAAAGTCAATTTTCAACTGTCAAAATTTAAAAAACAGTTGAACTTAGGTAAAGTATGTCACATGAAATCTGTTCAGAATTTTACGTAGAATCCAAATATGTAATCACATATAGGGTGTTTCATTCAAGATAGCGCTTTTTGCCATTGGTTTAGAGTAGAAGCGGCAACACCGCATAAACAAAAATATTTTTAAAGTGTAGATCATGGTCGTTTATCCCGGTTGCCAAATTTTCAAAATGATCCGCTTTTCAGTTGTCCATAAACGTCTAATACGAGTAATACGCCATCCACCGTGAGACACCCTGTATTTTGACCCCTCCCCCCCCCCACCTGCAGCCTTTACCTTTACAGGTAGATGATAGGGGTAGATACAAAAGTCCTGCAGTTTTAGCTAAATTTTTAGAATCCATCGTCAGAAACAAAAAATTATTGTCGGAAATTTGAAATTTTGCGTACTTTCAACTTTTTTGAAACTGAATGCCCTATATTTGGTTCTATATTCTTGAAGAGCACAATTTTCCGATTCCAGAAATATATAGTTTGTCTATATTTGGTTGATCCGTCTCCAACATATTTGGCTCTAAAAATTGTGAAAATACTATTCTACTGACTTAGATTTTGTAACCATTCTACTTGTAAAGGTGAAAGCTGCAGGTAAAATTTGCGGCACTTCGTTCCTCTGATACTATTTTTATAATTTTTAAGAGCCAAATATGTTGGGAGACGGCTCAACCAAATATAGACAAACTATATATTTTTGGAATCGGAAAATTACGCTCTTCAAGAATATAGAATCAAATATAGGACATTTCATTTGAAAAAAGTAGAAAGTACGCAAAATTTCAAATTTCTGACAATAATTTTTTGTTTCTGACGATGGATTCTAAACATTTAGCTAAAACTGCGTCTTTATTGATTCCTTAACTATTCCACAAGTACTAGGATATAACTCAGAGAAACTAAGTTGTGTGTAATAGTTGACCAACCATTTAAAACCAATATCACAACCATCAATAATCCAATTCTGTCAAGGACTCGACTCTATATAAAGAGGTCGCATTACTTAAACCAGATTTTAACAAATTTCCCAAAAAAAAAATAAAAATTAGTAACATAAGTAAAAGTTTATCTACTAAGATTAGTTCTGGGTCAAGGAATAGTTATAATACCTGCATCCACTATTCCAACGAATAAAAATACTGGTATAATTTTAAATTTGGTGCGAATTCTATAAAACTTTGCATTTACTTATCATTTGGAGAACTAATTATGAGTCGGCTATTTTCAGTTTTCAAACAATATTTACAAATACGAGAAAAATTCCATGTAGTGATTGCTCCATAAGGATTTCGGTACAGGCATTACATAGCATATAGCATATTACTGCCACTGTGGCCCAATAATAATAATAGGTTTTTTAAACTAAACAACATATAAACAATATACAAGCTTTATTTATAATATAATGGCACCAATAATAATATTACAATAACATTATTACACTTAAAAAAAAATTGGAATATTTTATGTTCTTTACACCAGCAGTATTTTTCTTGTGAAAAATAAAAATACTCTTACAAATTTACTCGAAATATCAGACTAGGTTGTAAAATATTATACATAATTTACATTAACCATTTCTTGATCATAATGTAATTTTGAAAGATCCAACACGGATATTCTGTGGTCATTTTTTATTTCACATTTAAAACAAAATATCTTTGGTTCACCTAAACCTAAACTACTATAATTAATAAGAAAATACCTGTTTGGGTTTTTGTTTTTTTGCAAAGCAGTAAAAATTATTGTCTCAGAGCTAATAAATTATGTGCGATGTGAATCAGCAATTATTATTATTATTGATAAATCACTGGGAATATTGATTATTTTAGCTCTTAGACTAATTATTTATGACATTTTCGAAGGTTGAATGAGTTTATGTATTTGGGCTGGAGGATTTATTACCTATTGTACCAGGAAGCACACAAAAATGTGTACATGAAACTCAAAAAAATAGTAACATAACCAAAATAAATTAACTATAATTTACTAAAAACATCTCTCGGCACATAATGATTACAGGAATAAAAACACGTAATAACAATATTTTTTAACAAAAAAAAAATATATATATATATAAACTTTTAAAGTTTTAACGAAAGCTACTACTAAAAGGAGTATTTTTAAGTTTAATTCTGTAACACAAGACTCCACTGATATGGTCAAAAGAATGGCTTGAGATTTGAAAAAAAAAAAACTTCGCTTTCACAATCTAATCTCACTAGCGAATTTTTTTTTAATTGTATATCGAATTATCCCATATTTTATCAATTTCATCAATACAGATCAACTTGTTAATTGTTTGAAACGAAAGATTCTAAAATCCTGCAAAACTTACAAAAAAAATAATAAATAAATAACAGCTCGAAAAAACTAAAACATCACATCAGTCTATATGGGGAACATTTTTAGTTTGGGGTGCTTTATTAGGCGTTATGTAGAAAATTTATCTCGGATCCATTTCAGGACTGGCGAACGTTCTGGGAGCGACTTGGATGACTCTGGAAAAGTTTACTTTTGTTTAAACTGAAACAAATTGTTTTTGAATATTGGAAAACTAATGATACTTAACAAATCATGCAAATGTAATGGCCAATCAAAAGAGATAATTTATCAAGAGTGTATAGGGATTATCATATTAGTGGCAATCGACAAACGTCAGAACCAGAGTTCTATTATTTTTGACCAACAGAATTTTCAATCAGAACTTTCATACATTGTAGGTGGCTGCAATTTCGGCATCCGACCTAGAGTTAAAATTTTGATTCTAGGATTCCCCTAATCAACACCAGTGTTTCAAGACTTTAATCAGTCCTCTCTGAGAGCTCTAATATTTTATTGAGCAAGTGAAATAATTATTCATAGAAAATGTTGGAATTGTTTAAGAAGCCCTGGTTTTGCATCTAGTGTAGTAAGTTATCCATAATATAATAGAAAAATAACATAATTCAGTAATGATATGAAGTGCCACTATCCACAACAAAAGACGTCTCTAATTTGATCTTTTTGAAAGGCCCAATCGATACATAATGTTAGCCATGCACAAAAAAAATCACACACAAGCCCAAAATAAACCCAGTTAAAAAAAAAACAAACTAACCACAAACATTACTGTATTGAACAATTCTGCTTACGTAGGTCGCTCTCGCTTTCGTCCAGATCCTCCGAGGTGGAAAGTCCATTTTCCCCTTGCGGTACCACTTTAGGCAAATAAGGTTTATAATCCAATCCAGACCTTTCATAGAACAGAATATACGCGGAACTGGTATCTATCCTAGGAATTTTCGCATTGTTATAGGGGCATCTATGGAAAAAGCGATCAGTTTTTATGTTTTGGAGAATTTTCTAATTTACCTATAGCCATTATTGGTGCTGTTAACGCTGCTAGTGCTACCGCTAGTAGACATTCTACTGGGACAAGGTGAATTTGCGGTTTTATTGCCATTTATGGAACTACGCTCTCCGGAATCTGAGGCATTGCCACTATCTATGGCACTAACCGATGATCCGATGGAAGTGTCCACTGTGGCCAATGGAGCCGCTCGCTCTGAATCAGTTGAACCAGTACTTCCTAATAAAAACAATGGAATAATTGGGATGTTATTGACACTATAACTAATAAGAACCTTTTCTTTGTTGTTGACTTCCAGGTGGATATTTTCTTCTACCCAAAGGAGTGCATCCAGAAGACGAGTTTTTGCTGCTAAGCGACAAACTAGACCTTGAAACGTCTGGTTCAGCGATAACTTCACGACACGAACTGTCATTGTAACAGTACCAGTTACCATTGGGGTTGCATGCATAAGAAATGTAGTGGCCGCCGTTGAGAAGACCAGAATGGCTCTAGAATAAAAAAAATGCATTATTACATCCAAAATTATTGAACAATGTGATTCTCACCACTACGGCATAGAGTTGATATTTCAAATCAAATGGATCCTGGCCGTCTATTAGTTTGTGTTCGTGGTAATCGCGCAGGTTTTCATCGATTATCGGAGTTTTGATGAGGCTTGTTGATATGAGCCTGGACCGGACTTTGTTCAACCTTTCAGGTCGTTGTTTTGGTGTATTGGTTGATACCTGAATAGAATTGTAAAAATATGTTATTTTAGTTGATCAATGATTGCTATATCACTATATAGTCTATTTACAATCTGTTGTCCAAAAGTACAGGTAAAATGTATCACCTTTCAATGCTATTTGATAGGGAAAGGTGATAAAATTTACCTGTACCTCTGGACTACAGATTGTGAATAGGATATAGTTTGTACTGCTGTATCTAAGTATTTATTAGTAGTTCTCTGTGGTGTCAAATTGAAAAATTTGCTTGTAATTTTAGACTAAAAAAGTCTGGAATTTATTTCAAGGTGCTACAGGACACCTTTAAAAGGACCCCGCAATATTTAAATGGAAATTGGTTACCCGTGATATTTGGATGAAATTTAGATATGTTATTAGGGATGCTGTAAGCAACATTTTTTACCATGGGCGCAACCTTGTATATATGACAGGTGAGGCGGTATCAGCTGTCAAATTTTGGAATCATTTCGATTTCGCCCAAGATTTTCATCTGCCGTTTGGTAGGCGAATGGTTAATCAATGGGTACGTGAGTGACATATTATCTCAACAATCTTAGCCGAATTCAGTAACCTTTTTCACGTGGCTCCGGTTTAACAAACCGCAACATACCGCTCAAATTCGAGAGGTAAGTATTCATCACGTCACTTTGTAACCGGGTTAGAAAACGGTATGTCATTTCTCTAACCGTTTTGTAACCCGGTTAGTTAAACCGGAGCCACGTGAAAAGAACTAATGGATAGGTCGTTTGGTGAATTTTGACTTTGACATGTTTATTTAGACATAAAACGTCTACTAAAGTTGTTGTGACAGCATCATTCTCCCATCCCAAATTGATTGGTACCTGTTTGACAGACCAAACTGGAGTACCAAACTGAAGCGAAATTGCCCTAATTCAAAAGCAAGGTAACTATGGCAGATTTTGATGAAGTAAATATCGATTTCCACTACGTCGACCAAGATAAATCGAAAAATGTCAACCATTTTGATATCTGTCAAAATCCAGCCAAACGGCAGCACTTTTATTTTTCAATGTTCAATATTGCATGATGTGTCATTTGACATTTTTAATCAATGTGAATTCTGAGTTTAAGTTATGCTTATTTATGATAAAGCATTCAAAAACTTTACATGCAGGTTTTAGATTTAACAGCTGTCAAAATTTGATGTCTATGAGCTTTGTTTATTGTTTTATCATACATAATACCACAAGAGAAAAAATTTTCTTGGCAAAATTTTCGACTGGTATGAAAGTTTTATGCTTGGCAATGGCGAATGACATTTTTGACAAAATCACGAGCCGCCAGGCGAGTGGTTTTGTCAAAAATTTCATGAGCGAAATTACCAAAAAGCAACAAATTTGAATAAAACCAAGAGAATAATTTTGCCTACATAATGTTTTCTTGACTGGTATTCGGCTGGACTATTTCACGAGAACAACAAGCCAAATTTTCATTTGGAAAATTTATTTTCTTCAGGTGACACTTGTCAATCTCACTAGTTTTTTACTCTAACCACACAAAATTTTGTCGCTGAAAAACGATCATGTTGATTTTGTCCAGCCGTTCCTATGACATTTTGCCAGTGTAAAACACTCTACACTTTATTTTTTCCCAAGATAGATTCTGACATTGAAACCTTTGAAACATAAACGATAACGCTTGACCCTGATTGGTCGCAAAATGAGGTGTTTCTGCAGGTTGACATTAGTTTTACAATAGCGACCAATAAGCGGCATTAGCGGCATTGTTTATGTTTCAAAGTCAAAGTTGACAATGCCAAAATCTATCTTGGGAAAAAATAAACTGTAGTGAAATCTCGAGTGAAATAGTCACCAATAAACTACGTTAGAACCAGAAGGTAATATTTTTCCTACTAAAATAAATGAGCAGGGTTTTGACAGATGTCAAAATGGTTGACAATTTTCGATTTACCTCGGTCAACTTAGTAGAAATCGATATTTACTTCATCAAAATTTGCCATAGTTACCTTGCTTTTAAATATGTATTAGATTCCAATATTTGACATCTGATACCACTTCACCTGACATATATAAAAGCTTGCGCCCATGGTAAACCAGATGTCAAATTTTTGACATGACGCTTCCTAGATAAATAACTACCTAATTAATGATTGTCATTGTCATTAATTGTCATTTCAAACCATGAATTCATTTTAATAAATCTTGACATTCTTTAAGGTTTTAATAGAATCAGAATCAGAATATCTTTATTTTAAAGAAACATACAAAAGAGATTATAAAAAAACATCAATTGTTGTTTATAACTAAATAGTGTCAAAATATATACCTAAAGTTAAATTTAAATTTGAGTTTTACAACGATAAGTATTCTCCAAATAAAAGAGTTAAAAAAGGAACATTTTAAAATTTTCTCCAGAATATAATTTGAATATTTGTAAAGTAAATTGTGCTTACAGTCAAACAGTAAAAAATAAGTCATCAGTACATACATAGTTAAAAAGAACAGAACAGTTAGAAAGACAGGTACTTTGTATAAGATAAAAACAAAGAAAGACATTTTTACAGTTTAAAATATAGAATATCACAAAAAGTTATCACAAGTCTGGCCAACATTTAAAAGGAACAAAATATTTACCACTAGAGAGGAACAAAATAGTTTTCAGTTACTACTAGGTAGGTACATCTTAATTTAGAAATTCATTAATCGTGTAAGGCTCTATTGAAACAAGATGCTGAAATAAAACTTTTTTAAAACAGTTTTCTGTTATTTTTAATTTTAATTTTTGGGGAAGAAAGTTGAAGAGTTTTATACACATGTAGGTGGGTCCAGTCTCAGTGAGAGCAAGCCTGTGCACTGGATAGTTTACTAATATGTATCATATTTCGGGGATAATACCACGAGAGCCTCAAAATTATGGATAATTTTTCACGATTCTAGGAAGCGGTATGTCAAAAATTTGACATCTGGTTTTTTTCGAAAATGTCCCAATGAAACCTATTGAGATCTTTGAGATTTACTTTTTTTTATTTTTTTTTATTTTTTTATTTTTTTATTTTTTTTTATTTTTTTTTTTATTATATAAAGCAAAATGAGCTCTAAACAATCAATGAAAAAAAAGATAGCGTTCCCATTTAAAAAAAAGATCAATGACGTCATATCTTGGAGAGGAATTTTTGTTTTCCTATATCTCTGTGTAACTTTTCCCTACACGTCCTCTTATACCTATTTCCAAAATTTCATCAAATTCTATCGAGCCGTTTTCTCAGAAAAATGCCAACACACACACACACACACACATACACACACACAGACGGAAATGTGAAACCTTGCCAAAAAGGCTTAAAATGATCCAAAACGTCAAGATTTAATGAAATTTTGACATGGTCAAAATCGGGTTATCACCACAGTATCACCATAGCTTCCTATCTAGGAAGCTAAAAATGTTGTTTGCGGCATCCCCAACAACATATTCAAATTTCATCCAAATATCACGAGTAACCAATTTCCGTTCAAATATTGCAGGGTCCTTTAAATGCTTCACATGGAAAAATGGAAAAACGATTTGCTTCAGCAGTTAAATAAATAGGAAAATTAATTACCCCTCAACATCCCTGGGAAGTGTTTGGAGAAAAATAATTTTGATCTTCACTGACCACTACCCAAACAATTCACCAATATGTTTTTCACGCTAACCTTCAAAGTGAATATTCAAATCTGATACAGCATGGGACACAATTTTGACATAATTTGCCTTCAGGATACCCTTAAATAAAAGATTAAACTACTTACCCTATCTACTTCATCCTTCCCATTAAGCCTACCACTCTCTTCTGAAGCACAGCCTTCATTACCCGCCTCTCCGCACATCAACAATGTACAGTCCTCCCGACTACATTGTGCACCACTTACGTTATTTTTTTCATATTGCTTATCACTAACTATTGGTTGCTTATCGTTACTATCACATTGAATCTTCATGAGGCTATTTGAGTCCTTTAAAAGGTTCGAACTTTCTTGGATACTGCTCCGGGTGCTTGACAGGGAAGCTTCACTTACATCCTCCAAGATTTTTTGTACTTTATCGTCTGCGTCTTCTTTTTGTCGCTGCTCTAACAGCTGACGGTGCCTGAGGATGGTTTCCTGGGGCACTGAGGCAAGATAAGCAGTAGGATCAAAGTCCTTAAATGGAAAATTTACTACTTTTTGGGTTTTAACCCATTTGTTATTGACATAATCGAAACGTTTCAAATGAACTATCAATATCGGAGGCAATTTCCATATTTGCAATTTTTTAGTGGCTGGTTGTTTATCATTACACCTACTACAATGGTATTTTTCTTGCAATTTTTCCTCCGAGGTGAAAGCTTTGAGACAATAATCCAAATCAATTGGTTCAGTGTGAAGTTTACGATATTTAGCAACCGATTCATCTTCAATCCATAACTACAAAACAGATAAAACGTTTTACTACTTTATTCCCAAAACTGATTATCCTTACCTTTTCTCTGCTAGTTTGATATCGCAAATGCAACGCTGTAGGATCCCAATCAATGGCAATATACATAGTTTGAGCATTAGTAGGTCCACCACATCTATACAGCAAAGGATCATCTCTAGAAGGCAAGGCACAGCCTCTACAAAATTTCGTCCAATGGCAAATGGCACAGATTTGTCCTCCAGCCAAGACAGCTTTCAGGGTGAACGGAAACTCGTAACCCAGTGAGTCATCACAGTCGGTAGCATGATTGGTCTGATCACTTTGAGGCATAGGGCTTAAAAGCCTGGTGACTTGGCCCCAAACTAAATCGTATAAATCTCTACAAGTGGTCGTGGAGCTACAGCCTAGCAAAAGGGGCATTCCAAAGAGGCTGGGTTTGCTTTTTTGTTGGGAGAGGAAATAGGTGTCTTGTCGCACAGTCTTGCGGTGCACAGCGATCAGGTAGGATGGTGGACGTTTCAGATTAGATGGATCGAACCCACCTGGAATTTATTTTTTGTTCAATTGAACTGACTGTACTGGTTTTCTAAGAATGATTTATCCCTGACTGGTTGTCTATTCTTACCTGATGTGGATGAAGCGTTGGAATGTAACGAAATCGTAGACCTTTTGAACGGTATGGCATTGTTCAGTGGTGGTTCTTTTTTAGTCTAAAATATTTCAAAAAATGTCAATTAATTTTATATTAAAAAATCACACACATCAAAATCTAGAGAAAAAAAATGTTCATACCCAAGATTCCATACTGAATTAAAAAAAAAATAATGTAAAATACTGCCGCTACTCTATGCCAAATCAAAAATTACAAACTACTACTCAAACGTAAAAAATTAAAAAATCTAGAAACAAATATTTGTAATTTACCTTATTTTTGCGTACATACTAGGTTTCCGAAAAAGAATTATGTTTTGCATGTAATTTTGGGTCTAAATATAAAGAATATCGGAATTTTCATGCCTTTGCCATAAAACACCAGGGTCAATTATAAACCTTCAGTCTTCAAGCACTTTCAAAGTACTGATTATGATTCACTTAATATTTAGACTACGTACTGGTGGTTGATTAGAAAATAATCTAGTTGATTGATGCAGTATTTGAAAAACTTTAAACGGTTTAAATTTTCCTGGTATTCGACTCTAGCAAGAATTTTTCCAACATTTTAGATAGCTTCGGAAAATCATTGGCTGGAATTTGACAGTTCAAAGAGATTTCCTTGTTATGCATTTTGCTTATAAGTATGTATAATATTTCTATTCGGATTCAACTATATGAGAAATACAAAAATTTAATCTAAACTTGATTTTTGTTTTATGAAATTTTTACTCTAAGACATAGTTTATTCAACTTCCCATAAAGTTGCTTGTAACGGTCTACAAGATAAATATAGAAAACTAGTATCCAGCCAATAGGATTACAGGTTGCGTTTTCATCTGTCAGATTGCATTACTTAACAGTTTATCAGAAGATGAATAAACCGGGTAATAGAATCGTTGAAAAATATAGTAGAATATAAATGAACTAAAACATTTTTTCTCGATAATTATTATTGTCGAAATAGAAAAAAGAAACAATACACTAGGCCTAAGGCTGTGCATACCTTAAAGCATAGAATGTTGGGCATGCAAATGGCCGAACCACTCCTTACCTCTGGGCTGCGGGCAAGGGGGCTGTCAGTAGCACCCGTCGAAGCCTCTGTAAACAAACTCACGTTTAAAAACCATAATACATCAACAAATATTGTATGTATAATAAATAAGTTTATTTCAGCCACAATCTCAAAAATCACTTGGCCCAGAAGCAAACTCCATACCTGTCTCAATATCTCCGTCTCCTTCAGCCTCATCTTTCTCTCCCTCCAACTCACTTAAATCGCTTGGTAGTTCGTAAGCGAACAACTCCAAAGCTGTGTTTGGGTTTATTCGACTTTCATCTGCAAGTAGAGATCTCACTTGGCAGCTGGCAACTTCGGCCAATAATAATCGTTTATCTTCGACGCCGCATATATTACTGAGTTGCTTCTTTAATTCACCATATTTAGCTTCAGAGTTCAATCTTAAGCCGTATTTGATTGGTGTCTGGCCGTTCAATCGTACTACTAGGACTTCGCATAGAGTGTAACTTTCCATGGGCAGGGGTAGACTTAGGTGGTTGAATGGGTCGAATTTGACCGATTCGTGACCACAAGTCATACAGGTTACCTAGAAAAGCAGTTAAAACTTGAATTTTGCGGCATTTAATGATGTGTTGAAACTCTGGAGATAAATACAAAAATTATTGGTATCTACCTTGCTCTTAAGTTGCCCATGAAACAGGTCAGTGACAATCGAATTTTCCCGTTTCAAATGATATTGCCAAGCCTCATCTGCTACTACTTCATCTGGCCTGCCATCACTGTCCTTTTGCTCAATATACTGTTTCTTTGGAACCCTGTTTAGGTCTTCATGAAGTGCGTCTAAGAGCCAAGCTAGCAGTTCCTAAAAATGTTTAGTTTTAATTTTTCAATTTTCAATTATAATGACATTTATTACTTGTGCATCATGTTGGCCTCCTCCACTAAGGTGCTGAGCAAACTTTGAAACACAATATCTAAGTTTAAGTGGAGCGACGCTTCTTGTAGAACCAGCCCATAATTCCCTGTAAAGAAAATATTATTTCCATATCAACTCTTAACTCAATAGTCTTACCTGCAAAGTTCAGCATATTTTTTAGCCACTGCCCCCTTAGTACTATCAGGATTATTAGAATTTAACTCTGAAAGTTGATTATCTTGTTGAAAATACATAGTCAAAGGCCTAGTATTTGAAACAGCTTGCAAAGCTGCGTTCATAAAGCACGTATTTCCAAGATTATGTAGCCCTGTAGCACCTGGAGGTAAATATATAGTAGGCCTACGCTCTGCTAGGACAGATTCATGATTTCCACCAAGAGCTAATTGCCCCAGTTCCTCCGGCCATGTAAGATCTTTATTTCGCACTTCAAGCAATATTTGTTCAGAATCTTTGATGCCTAAATCCTGGAGATGGGCTCGCTCGTCTTCCAATAAAAACGGCTGTTGATGGTCGCGCAAGAGCCAAAGACGAGCGTCTTCGTTTTTAATCGATAAATGTTCACATAAGAAGTCGGTTACTTGTTGGATAGTGGCCAAACGTGAAAAAGCAGCTACGTGATCTAAGTTTCGTCTGATTGAGGATACTGGGGATGAAGTTGGAAGACCTGCTGTTGTCAATGCACCATAACTGAAACATTTTCAATTTACTAGCTGGAATTACAATATTTTGCAAAATAAAAAAAAAACAATGGTTTGAAATTTTTGTGCAAAAAATTGTTACTTACCCTCCCACCACACTACTCCAACTCGAAGCATTACTAACAATATTATGCTGTATCTGATGCCTCAAAATCCTCAGATTGAGCGGATACAATTCCAACTCGACATCCGACCGGCCAGGAGGCTTGATAACTTGCCTTGGCAATGGCAAAGGCCCTCCATACCACATTGACAACGCTTTCCATAACGAATCGGGCACAAGCTCAAAATCTCTGTGTTGCACTAGAGGCGTGTCGCGTTTCAAACGTCCTCCTTCCCCAGTTAATGTGGGCACTTTGTAGGTACTTTCCGAGACCAAGTTGCTGTTGTCTATGGAGCCTGGAGGTCCTAGGCCGCGTTTTGAAGCCGTCCCCGAGCTACTTGATACGCCAGAGCTTGAGGCAATGCTGCAACTAAATTTGGTGAATTAATACTCTAATAAGTAGGCTTTATTTATGTTTGGGGCTGTTTTCTATACTGATGAATTCGCCCCAACATTTGGAACTTTAGCTTGATGAGTTGGGTGTTACATTTAGTCAATAACTTCAATGGAATATTATTCACGTTTAAAGAAACAGGTTAATGAATGCCAACAGTCAACGTTTTGTGTCCAAACTTGTTGATGATATTGGTACAATTTCGAAAAAATATAGAATACTACCAGTTTCCGAGAACACCTACTAACAACACGAAAAATCTTGTAAATCAACTCACAAAAACTGAATTAATTGAAAATACAGTCTAGCACATCCCAAAATTTGCCTGATAAACTACCAGGGAAAATTTTGAAACTTAGAAGGTTAGAGGCTCATTTTCCCAAAATTTTAAATTTTTCCAGTGAAAAATAGCAAAGTGAAAAATAGCAACATGAAGAATCTTGGAAATCAACTTACAAAAGCTGGGTTAATTGAAAATAACAGTCTCACACATTTTAAAGTTTTCCTGGAATACTAGTGAAGGGAAAAATTTGAAACTTTTTGGATATGAAGAGGAAGATTAGAGACTCATTTTCCCAAAATTTCAAATTTTTCTAGTGGAAAATAACATGAAGAATCTTGTAAATCAACCTACAATAAGTGAATTAATTGAAAATACAGTCTCATACATTTCAAAGTTTTCCTGGAAAACTAGTAAACGGAAAAATTTGAAACTTCTTGCATGCGAAGAGGAAGGTTGAGGGCTCATTTTCCCGTAATTTCCAATTTTTCCATCGGATAATAACAACATGAAAAATTATGGAAATCAACTTATAAAAACTAAAAGAATTGTTATTACAGTCTCACACATTTCAAAGTTTTCCTGGAAAACTATGTAGTAGAGGGAAAAATTTGAAACTTTTTGCATGTGAAGAGAAAGGTTAGAGGCCCATTTTCCCAAAATTTCAAATTTTTCCAGTGGAAAATAACAACATGAAGAATCTTGGAAATCAATTTACAATAACTGAGTTATTTGACAATACAGTCTCACACATTTCAAAATTTTCCTGGAAAACTAGTGAACAGAAAAAATTGAAACTTTTTGCATGTGGAGAGGAAGGTTAGAGGCTCATTTTCTCATTATTTCCAATTTTTCCATTGGAAACTAACAAAATGAAAAATTATGGAAATCAACCTATTAAAAGAATTGTTATTACAGTCTCACACATTTCAAAGTTTTCCTGGAAAACTATGTAGTAGAGAGAAAAATTTGAAACTTTTTGCATGTAAAGAGAAAGGTTAGAGGCCCATTTTCCCAAAATTTCAAATTTTTCCAGTGGAAAATAACAACATGAAGAATCTTGGAAATCAATTTACAATAACTGAGTTATTTGACAATACATTTTCACATATTTCAAAATTTTCCTGGAAAACTAGTGAACAGAAAAATTTGAAACTTTTTGCATGTGGAGAGGAAGGTTAGAGGCTCATTTTCCCATTATTTCCAATTTTTCCATTGGAAACTAACAAAATGAAAAGTCATGGAAACTAACTTACAAAAACTGGAAAAATTGTTAATACAGTCTCACACAATTCAAAGTCTTCCTGGAAAACTACTGAAAAGAAAAATTTGAAACTTTTTGCATGTAAAGAGGAAAGCGGGAAGCTCATATTAACCAAAATTTCAAATTTTTCCAGTGGAAAATAACAACATGAACAATCTTGGCAATCAGCCCACAAAAACTGTACTCATTATTCTTTAATTTTTTTTAAATTTGGACCTGAAAATCATGAAGGGAGATTTTGGGAGAATTTCTCTAATAAAAGCAAATGTCCAACATCCAACACAAAACTAGATTCCAAATTTCCTAATATTAGTGTTTCCTATAATAAAAAAGTGAACCTCAGTGACATCATGATCCTACAATTTCCTTTTAAATTCCTCACAAATTCCCCATAAATTTCTCCAAATCCTTCATAAATTCCGACGAGTTCCTTCAAATTCCCCACAAATTCCTCTTAATTCCCACATTTTTGGCAAAGAATTGCTAGGTGGTTTGCCACATGAATAGAAGGGACTCCACTCTGGCTGCTCAAATTTCCTTCTGCATTGTTTTTTCTACCAAAATCGGAAACTTGAAAACTTAACCTATTCCTCACCTATCTCCTCTACTCAATAAATCCCCCATAGACTCCATGCTATTAGAATTAAACTCGTTTGAAGTATAATCCGTAGTGTTACTGACTAGAGTTTCATCACATACAATGCCTTCTTCTATGATTCCTCTAGGCTCTATGCGACAATGACAATGATCCGAATTCATCCTTGCAGCTGTTGTATAATGTTGCCATTGTTGCCACCAATCAGAAGATATCAGGTACCAAAATTGTCCTACCAGATAACCACGACGTTCTTCACGTTCCAACCAGCCTTGGACTGTTAAAAAGAATTAGCAAGTGTCCAACATAAAAATAAAGGTATTACCAATTTCATATTCATTATGTCTACAATAAGGTTTCAATCCTAGGGAAACATGGCATACTTGGAACAATAATTCCAACAGAGGGGCTACTAGACTGTTGTCCTCTACAGCCCACATTAGAAAGTCTTCTTGGGTTAGGCCGTTTTTAGCGTCCAACTGAAATTTAAGTCTTAGTAGATTAAATAAAATCTTACAATATTGTTTTTACCTTTTTGTTGAGGGATTCCAAGGTTCTACTGTGAGTTGGGTCCAATTCTAAATAGCTATGAGGCTGTTCAAGGAAGAATTGATGTGAAAAAGTGAGTTTGTTTTCATTGGCTATAAAAAGTAATGTTTGCTTCATATTTTCCAATTCCTCATAGTTAAGATAATTGTCCCGGTCCATGTCAAATATTTTGAAACAAACTAAAAATGATTTTATTTATAAACGTATTTTTAATGGAAGTATGCTTACATTTCATTCTTTCAGCCATTGGTCCCCTACAAGCAGCAGATATCCCACAGCACAGTTCTTTAAAATCAATATGCTCGTCTCTGTTAACATCTAAAGCCAAAAATAACCTAAAAAAAATGTTATTAAAATACCATCAATAGCAGTTTGTTAACAGTTAATGTTAACAAACAGGAGCAAAATTGTTAAAGTTACCCTCTGCAAGCTTTCGCAGGTACAGGTGGGCATACCAAAGACAATAAACAGTTGAAATCCAAATGACCTGTAACCGAAGAGCCTTGTATAGTCCAAAAACATTTTTCCAATTCCGAAATGTCTTGTTCTTCCAAGTGAGTGACTCCGGCTAAGGTTTGATAGAAAGTTGGTGTTTCCACTTCAGAGCTGAGAGATACGCAGGGGTTCGAGAGAAGCCTGGAATTTGTCTTTTATTAACAAGCATCAAAAATATGCGGTACAGTTTTTATCTTAAAGATGACCTTAGTATAAATATGACTAATTTCGCGTAATTCAAGTTGAAAAATGATAAGTATTTATTTTTGTTCAATCCAAGGTTTCACTCAACAGCTATTTTTATACTACCATTAAACTGAAATAATGCTTAACTTTTTGGTCAAAGCTATTTAGGTATATGGCTATCTCATGCTAAGAATTGGATTTTTCAGTAACACAGTAGAAAAGCCAAGCCTAAAAATTCTAACTGGTACATACAAGAGTCCTTACCATTTAGACAAAATAGTTGAATCCTTGTCATACTTAACCCAGGCCTTGAAATCCTCAAATCCCACCTTCTCCTGCCCCACTCCGAACAACGAAATCAAGGTACGATCCCAATTAGCGTTGGGTTTTTGTGTGCCCCCGTCAGGGGGCGGCAGCGTCCCCTCCATCTGCAAGGCCGTTTGGAATTCGTTACGTGTAATGTAGGTGCCCGGATCATTACAATACAACGTCCAGAGAAATCTACAAATTTTTCATTATTCTAAATATCATGCTTAGTGTCTATAAATTTTCACCTGATTTTCTCATCTTGAGACCCTTTGGTCAACAACACCAAACCACAAATTAGATCTCTAAGGGCTATGCCTCTGGGGCCGCCTCCGCAAGCGGTGTACAACCTTTCGACAATCAGGGCTGGTACCCCATCGCCCAAAACATTTTGGGCAAATGCTGCTTGGCCTAAAAGGGTACCGCCGTTGGTGAGTCGCTTGAAAGCTTCGCAAACTCGCTTGAATTCAGCATCTGACACTGAAATAATAAACAAATAAATAGATATCTTGCAAGGACACTATTTTTTTTTGTCTAAAAATAATCTTGTCACAATATACATAGATTTAAAATAGGTAAATAAGATAATCGTATGAAATTCAACGCACTTGTATGGAATTTTTGTTGAAAAAAAAATTTATATTGTACAAAAATTTTATTAGTTTGTTAACGTTTTGATTTAGAGCTGCAAAGGCAAACAACAAACAATATGAAAACTGATAAAGCTTTTTAAACTAATGATATATTAGTCATATAGTTCAAATTAATTATGTCCATCTTGGTACTATCAACAGTGGCCACACATATATTGCATAGTTCCCATTATATTTCTTTTTTTTTAGAAATAGATTAACATTTTAACAAATGCCAATATTCACAAAGTATTATTCACTGCTTCGAACTTTTTTTCCACGAATTTTACTGTTACTCAAATTTCCAATGCAATTACATAATTAATCAGTCATGTATTTCTAACTTATTATCGCTTATTGTATCAATTATTATGGGTGATTCAGTGAGGCTAATGTTTTTTACACCCAGGTGCAAAATAAACTGGTCAAGTTTTCTTTAATTTAAACACTACCGTTTTGATTTGGCTACAAACAAAGTACAGAATTTGCTTATCTGTCTTCAAAGTGAGAAAAAATCAAAGTACATAGGTATATGTTTTTTAATACAGTACAAAGACAATAAGGATTCACAAATAAGACTGAGCTGACAGGGTGCAAGGGAAACGCCAATTAACCATGATACGCGTCAATACTTTGTATTTCGTTGGAATAACGTTATCTGCCAAAAATCAAATCAAAACTGTTTGCGATCAGGCCTCCATTAATATTCATGCTGACACCATTTTATTGAATCTTCACCAAGATTGAGGTTGCATTCAAAAAATCGCTCTCCAAGTGTCTCCTCCATCTTTTTTTTTTTTTTTAATTGTTTATTTCAGACTTCAAATCAGTTACATATAACTGGCATCGAGGCCTTAAAAACTAATTAACATTTAAATATCAACAATAATATATAACATTCTTGAATACTGCTCTTTACATATTTCTTAAGGCTATGGCTCACTGTCTTTGGTGTACCTTCTGGGAGGTGTTCAGGTACTGCATTAAATTCGTGCACACTTCTATACACTGGGGTTACTGGGGAGTATTGTCCTTTTATTGTTCTTAGAAAATTATTACGCACTGTTTCTTTACTTCTCACATTGTATTTATGGAAGTCTTTATTTTGTTTTAGGTTAACTTTTGTTTTTAGTAAATTATTTTGAATTTTATAAATGAGTTTTATTTGTTCTAGGGTTTTTATATCTTTTTCTTTTAGAAATGGAAGTTTTTTGTGGTGTCGCTAAGGGCCTAGTAGTTCATGGAGAAGATCTCTTTGATTGACCGTTTTTGTAGTCCCTGTAGCCTATTTAGGAGGCCAACACTAGCACTTCCCCAGCACGCTATTAAATAGCGTAGGTGAGGTTCAACAAAGCTGTTATACAATAAGTGTTTTGTTTTTGTGCTTAGTTAGTGGTGACACCTTCTTATTACACCTATAAATGGAGTGATTTCTTGTATGACTTTTTCTATATATCCCTGCCAAGTTAATTTATCTGATATCATTAGTCCAAAGTATCTGTACTCTTGCACTCTTCTAAGCTCTAATTGATTTAGCTTTATAGTTGGATCACACTGTCTCTTGCATTTTTGATGGATCAACATATACACTGTTTTCTCCACATTAACAGTTAATTTGTTATAGCATAACCAATCATGGTATAGTCCAAGATCATTACTAATAATTTCTTCAATTTCACATTTATTTTTTCCACAGTACATTAGAACAGTGTCATCAGCAAACATAATATAGTCAGATTTCAGCCCCACATGCATTAAACTGTGCACATATAAAAGGTACTGAGGCGGTCCCAGTACTGACCCCTGTGCGAGCCCTACTTTTACAATTTTTTCTTCACTACTTTCACCATTTACAACTGTATAGTGTTTTCTTTCAGGTGAATATGTTTTCAAGAGATTATAGCATGTTCCTGTAAGTCCCATTTTATAGAGCTTTAGATCAACGTCAGCTGTGTCAAAGGCTTTCTTCAAGTCAATGAACATTGCCACACATTTTTGTCTATTCTACTTGATATATGTTCCAGTAAATCAACTGTGGCTCCCAGGGTACTGCTGTTTTCCTGCAAATCATATTGCCTTTCATCAAACTTGAAATTTGCTGCAACAAAGTTCTTTATTCTTATTTTTATTATCTTCTCTATTATTTTGGTGAAAATACTTAGTAGGGATATGGGTCTGTAGTTGCTTACGTCACTATGGGCTCCTTTCTTGTATATTGGCACGATTTTTGCTGTTTTTAATTTTTCTGGATATATTCCACTTTCCAATGTTTTGTTTATGAGTTCAACAATTTGGGTCCAAAACTAGAGTTAAGTCATTTTTTACTATGTTGTCTTTGCCAGGCGCAGAGTGATTTTTTAGTTCGTTTAGTGTTTAGTGTGTTCCTTACTTCTTCAAGATTTGTTGTCTTCAGTGTTAGTTTTTCCATTATTTCTTCTTCCTCAAATTTTTTACTAGCATTTGGTTGTATCTGTGAGGCTAGGGTTTGTCCTATGCTTGCGAAATGGTTATTAAACTCCTCAGCCATTTTGAAGTTATTTTCTGTCTCTGCTCCATCCCTTCTTGTTATTTTTGTTATGGTTTTCTGCTTATTGACATTTTTGTTACACAGGTCATTTAGGACTTTCCATGTTTTCTTCAGATCACTTTCTGCTTCTTGAAATTTCCTTTCAGCATACTGTTTTTGTAATGTTTTCCGAAGATTATTTAGTGCATTTTTGGCTCTTTTCATCCTAACATAAAGTTTATCCTTTTCTTGGAGTTTTTTAATAAACTCTTTTGTGACCCAGTAATTTTGGTTTCTTATTTTCAGTGTTCGTTGTGTTGTCAAGTATTCTTAGTAACATTTATTACACTGGTCAGTTCTCCAAACTCCAAAGATATTTATGATTCTTTTTGTAAATTCTTCTTTGTGTGTAGTAGTCCATTCATCATTAACTGCTTGCGAGTTTTTCAGCAGATCCAAATTCATGTCACCTATCAGGATGGTAGGGTTTCTTTGCTGTTCCAGTAATTTATCTAATTCCGCTGTAAATATTTCATGATTGTTTTTTGGTGCTCTGTATACTGCATAGACAGTAAGGTTTTGTATGGGTAGGTAAACAGACACTATGTTGCAGTCCTCAATTTTTGGTATACGTTGCTCGTTCTGTATATAGCTAAACTCATATAAATGCTTGTCCCTCCTCCTGGAGTATTTCTGGAATCGTGTACTGCATTGTATAAAGTCTCAGTTTCATGCCACTTAAAACTTTTTCCACGATTTTCTTTGGTTCCTCTTGTTATTCTGGATTCCTGCAACAATTAGGTTATTTGCTTTATCTAGTTGCTCGATGGTGTTTAATCTGTCTTCAAGAATATTCACACGCTCTTTTAACTGACTGTTTTCCTTTTTCAAGCAATTCACCTCATTTATGAGATCATTTGGATGGATTTGGAAGTAGGTAAAAAATCATCATTAGTAAGTGCCACAAGACTGTATAATTTATTGCCAAAAAATTTAAAGAATGTAAAAAAATCAACAAAACTTTCAAACGCAACATAAAGCATTTTTTCATTAGACAAAACATAAATGTATAAATCTTCAATTTCTATCGAATATTATAAAATTACAATGAATAATTTATTTCTCAATTACCTGATATGTATGAATAAATAGAAATTTACAGAAAAAAAAAAAAAATTATTAAAATGAATGCAAAACTTTAATTGTTCCTAACTAGTAAAAATAGTTTAGTTTAAGGATCTTTAGTTTTAAGTACCGGGCCTGTGCACAGACTTCTTGTCTCTTGCAGGGTAAAAATACTATGTAATTTACTGTACTATACACCTGGAATAAATGAATTTGAATTTATGGCATTCTTATGTTCATCAAAGGTGTCTGACAGAAACTGGACTGACTGTTTGAGTTCGCCAATTTCTGTGTGGAGTGACTGCTGGAAAGGGGTCAGAGATTCCCTAAACATGGTTTGAATTAGTGTTTTCATCTTTTTCTCGTCCATTTTCTCAGTTTTTGTATGCTTTTCCTCAGTTCTAACCTCTCTTCCTGTACGCGTAGTACAACAGGTAACTAGACTTTCATTAGTTACCACTCCGTCTGGTTATCTGGTAAACGTAAGGAGAATCTATCATACCTCGTCTATGAAGAGTACGGGATTCCATTGCCTCAGTCCAATTGTAATATTGTTATTCCTTCTAAAAGACGGCAAGCAACTTTCGCGGACCAGGTTTATTGAAAAAGTGTTTTCATTTGGGCTTAATGGCCGTTGTAAGTTGGTGGATAAGGGCAACACAACTGTTCTGTTGAGAACTAAAAACTACATTCGGAAAGTTCAGGAACTCCTTGATCGAACTACCTACCAAAGAAGGATCCCACCCAAGCCATACTCCGGAAAACCAACAAACTGATTAGGTCATCTACCCTATCAGATACGGTTAAGAAAGGCATCATAAAAACAGAAGAACAAACATTCACAAACCTGACGTCTCACTAAGACCTATAGTGAGTGCACCTGGAGCACCAACGTACAACCTACCGAAACATCTTGCATCGCTTCTTCAATTGCATGTAGGAAAAACTAGCTTTTACGTCAAGGACTTCACTCACTTTGTCCGGAAAATTAGGGATATTATTCTGCAACCTAATAGACCGTCAGATAGTGACAGATTTAGGTGCCCCATTTTCGCATACAAGCATCGAAGAGGGTTGTACATCGATTTTGAGTAAGATGAAAGTATTTTTACGAGTGGCTCCTGGGGATAACATATGGAATTCAATTTTACTTATGTTACCCCAAAATGTAATTTTCCATTTGCGACACTCAAGCCAATATGTTTTTTTGCTACCGA